GTTTGTCAAGTGATACACAAAGGCAAAGAGCTTTTCAGTTTATTTGATATTAAATATATGACACAAAGGCAAAGAGCTTTTTAATTTATTTGATATTAAATAATTGGATAGTCAATGTTTAGTGGTAAATCTCAGAGATTTAGCTACAAAGTAATAGAACACACACAAAAAGGTATACAAGTCAAAATGACTATGAATGAATAGGTTGTTTCAAATGCATAAAGTGGGTAGAAAATTTATTTTTGCACTTTCTGATGAGTTGGCACAGTATTCCAGGCTATTGGCTCCCTCCCCACAAGCAACCCTGGAGAAACTACAGAAGTATATGTGAGGTATTGATGTGAAGAAGTCACATAATGTTTGGGAGAAACTAATAAAAACACGTGAGGACTTCCCTGGTGGTGCAGTGGTTAAGAATCCACCTGCTAGTGCAGGGAACACGGGTTTGAGCCCTGCTCCAGGAAGATCCCACATATCGCAGAGCAATGAAGCCTGTGCACCACAACTACTGAGCCTGTGCTCTAGAGTCCGTGAGACACAAACTACTGAGCCTGTGTGCCACAACTACTGAAGCCCACACGCCTAGAGCCTGTGCTCCACAACAAGAGAAGCCACTGCAATGAGAAGCCCGTGCACCACAAAGAAGAGTAGCTCCCACTTACCGCGCCTAGAGAAAGCCTGTGTACAGCAATGAAGACCCAACACAGCCAAAAATAAATAAATTTATTAACCCCCCCCCAAAATAACAAACAAAAAAACCAAAACAAACAAAAAATACCTGAGACCTGACCAGCCACTTTGGACTTTTATTCCACCTCGGCTCATAAGGCTGCTGTGTTACAACTTAAGGAGATTGCTTCTTTTCAGTGCTTACAGAGTAGCTAATAATCAAGGGAATACGAGCTTATTGGCAAAAGATAAACATTAGATACCAGAAGAGTCTAACAACTATATAAAACAGAGAAGCTGAGTAACATATTTCACATGAAGCAGAATTACTGGAACAGATGGACCAATAATATACAATAAGCAAAATAAATATCCTCAAAGACATAGGTAAGATATTATTAACATGAAGCAGGAACAAAAGACATTAAAAATGACTAAGTGGAGATGTTAGGTCTGAAATGTTTAGTAGTTGAAATAAAGAAAACAATAAAGTAATAATAAGGGACTAAATAGTAGATAGACACAGCTAAGAATGAATTAGTGAGATGGAAGACAAGATTGAAAAATTCTCCAGAGGTGGCAGGAATGGTTAAAGGGAGAAAATAGAAAAAAAGAGCTAAAAGCTATGGGGATACAATTAAATCAAAAGATATCCTGACAAAAGTATCTCCAGAAAGTGGAAAGAGAAGGAAGAAAATACTTGAAGAAATAAAATGATAAATATCCTAGAATCAAGAAAGATCTCAGGTTAAAAGCACTCATAGAGTACCAAATGAAACAGATAAGGAAAGTTAGAGTAAAATCCTGAATTCAGACAAAGAGATAGTTCTAAAATCTTCAAGAAAGAAAGAGTAGATCACTTCTAATGGAACAAGGTATAGGTCCATACACCTTTCAATAGCAATATTGGAAACAAGAAGTCAACAGAATAATATTTTCTAAAGCATTGAAGAAAAAAAGCATTTATGTCTAATCTGTCATTTAAATATGAAAGCATAATAAAAATACTGCAAGCCATACAAGGCCTCAGAGGGCTTGACATGTAACTTCCAACTTTAAAAACATTCATATAGCAGCACTAAAGATACTCATATAGCAACAATAAAATGACTACAGCAAGGCACTGTAGTAGTAGGCACTGTTCTGAGAGGTTTTCATATATTAACATAAATAAATAAGCTCATCTGATTAACTCAAATAAGGAAAGAAATAAATCTTAGAGGATACTAGTAAGAGAAATGGAATGAAAAGATGATCAAATTACACATAAAATTTTATTGTTGCCTGAGAAAAAGCAATAACCAAAGAAAACAAAAAGTACAGTCATAACAATTCAAACTGAAATTCCACCTAGATAATATCAAATAGGAATTCGGGGAGAGGGGCACAAACTAAATTACTTATTCTGTTAGGGGTCAATATGGATTTTAATAAGTTAAAGAAATGAACATAGACATGGTAAATTAATACAGATATAGGTCTTGAAAACAAGAATCATAAGAACAAAAATAGAATGAATTAAAGTGGAACGAATTGTTTCTTTTAAAAAAAATTGGTAGGGCTTCCCTGGTGGCGCAGTGGTTGAGAGTCCACCTGCCGACGCAGGGGACATGGGTTCGTGCCCGGGTCCGGGAAGATCCCACATGCCGCGGAGCGGCTAGGCCCGTGAGCCCTCCGGAGCCTGTGCTCTGCAATGGGAGAGGCCACAACAGTGAGAGGCCCATGTACCGCAAAAAAAAAAAAAAAAAAAAAAAATTTGTAAAAGGCAAACTCACATAGTTAATAGAAGTTAATGTGAGAGATTTTCTTTGAGACATGAAGGTGGGGTAGGATTTCTGAAATGAAATATGGTGGAGGACACCATAGATAAATTGGGAAAAGGTTTGTGTAATTCTAAAACTAATGATGGACAAATATCTAGAATAAACAAAAAACTCCTGAT